CGGGATACAGCCATCCCGGGATACAGCCATCCCGGGTGGGTGCTGGCAGGAATTCCCTGGGAAGCAGCAGAGCCAGAGTTTGGGTGGGAATCTTTCCTTTCCCAAGAGGATCCTAAATCCCAGGGGGCTTCCTCACCCTGCTGGGCTGGGATTTGGGATGAAGAGGGGGGATATTCCCAATCCAGAGGGATGAGGACAGGCTGGGAAGTGCCTGGGCTGGCCATGGAGGAGCCCCTTTTCCAGTTCCCGGACCTACAGATCCCTGTGTTCCCAACAGATCCCTGTGTTCCCAACAGATCCCTGCTTTTCCCTGTTCCCCCCCCTCCCTGAGCTCCCACAGGTCCTGGAGCTTCCCAGAACTCCGGATCCACGTGGATCCCCCACTTCCAGCGGTTCCCTGCAATTCCCAGTGGATCCCCTTATTCCCCACGTTCCCCCTCCGTGGATTCCGACACCCCCTCGTTCCCCCCATCTCCCGCTTTGCTCCACGGTCAGGGAACCATCCCAAAAAACCCCGGGATTCACCCATTCCAGGGAGGACAACGTCCCCATTCCAGAGTGGGCGAGGCCAGACCCAACCCCTGCATCCCAATTTTCGGACCCAGGAGGGCTCAGAGGATCCCAGAATTCCTCACACGTGCACTCACATCCAAGGATTTGGGCGCTGCAAGAGCGGCCTCGAGGCATCCCAAAAAAAATATATCAGGATGCTGTCGGAGCCCCTGTTATCCTGAAATTCCCGTTGCAAAACCTGTGGTGTTTCGCCCATGGAATGCGAGGATTCCAAGAAATCAAAGGGAAAATCCTGATTTTTCCCCTCCTGTTCCCCCGGTTCCTTGGAGCCAGTCAGGGGAAACGGGGGATCCTCCATCCCAACTTTTCCAGCTGCTCTGCCCAAATAGAACCCTCCCAGATTCCCCCAGGGAATTCCCATCTGGGGGGGGGGTGGATTTGTGTTTCCCCCCACCCGGGTCCAGCAGGATTCAGGGAATGCTGGGGCAGGAAACGGAGGAATTTTTGGGATTCCTTGGCTGTGTCTCCTCCCCTCCCGGGGCAGGAAGCTCCGGGATGAATTTCTGGGATGATGCCGGAGTCAGGAATGTGGGGTGTGGAGAGACTCCCATTAGTGGCCTTGGCGGGCACCGGGAATGCTGTGCCGGAAATCCGGGATGGTGACTCCTCCACCTGCCACATTCCTGCCTTGGAATCTGGCGGGAAGGCTTGGATTTGATGGGGGGGTGACACGGGATGTTGTTATCCTGGGAATTCGGGGGTGGTTCCCTGATGGGGACGGGAAAAGTGGGGAATGGGGGGGGATAAAGGGGTGTCAGAATCCAGAGGGAATGGGGGGAAACACAGGGAAAAGCAGGAGAACATTGGCCCTGACATGGGAGTATCCCAGGATTTGGGGGTGGTTCCCTGGGCCTGGAGGGACAAGGAAAGTGGGGAATGGGGGGNCTTTCCTGCTTCCTGGAGCCCCTTCCTGCTTCCTGAAGTCTCTTCCTCCTTCCTGGAGCCCCTTCCCACTTTCTGGAGTCCTTTCCTGCTCCCTGGAGCCCCTCCTTCTTCCTGGAGCCCCTTCCTGCTCCTGGGATCCTCTTCCTCCTCTCCCCGTTCCCGGCAGTTCCTCCTCCTTGGAAGCTTTTTCCCGCCTCCTCCCTGGTCGCCCCCTGGGAGTCTTTTTCCCTCCATCCAGTTGGGAATTTGGGATAACGAAGGAAAGGAACAAATTGATGTCCGTGTGTGTCCGTTGGTATCCAAACCGGAGCGGGTTGGGATATTTGGGATGGATCTTTTCCTGCCGTTTCCCCTCGTGTCCCCTGCCGGGTCCTGCTCCTTCCTTGACTCCGGCTCTCGTTTGCTCCCGTTTTTCCAGAGCCTCTCGGAGAAGTCCTGCAAGGTGTTCCGCATTTTCCGGCAGTGGGAGAGCCTGAACTCCTCCTGAACTCCTCCTGGATTCCTCCTGGATTCCTCCTGGATTCCTCAGCCTCTGGAACCCCCAGGGGCTCCGTGGCGGAGAGAGAGACCCTCTTCCCAGCTCCGTGCCTCGGGAAGGGGATCCCGAGGGAGCCATCCCGGGATCCCCCATC